CTCCGATTTTTGTATATAATGTTGACTGGCATCGATTAAACGTACCAAATCGTAAGTGTGTTTAAAGTAGTTCCCTCTAACATCATTGGAGTTTTGTAAACGAATTTTGACTTTCGAAGAAATGGATGCTTAAGGCCTCCATTTCTTCGAATCTATTGAAAATATGCTTTTGTAGCTTTTTCAGAATCATTTTCAGAATGAAAAGGACTGCCACCTAAATTTTACTTTATATTCAAAAATAGCCGAAAGTAACATATAAAATTATCAGGAGAAAAGCATGGATGTTCTGTCAGTTTGATTTGTTTTTATTTAATAAATTGTATTGAGAGTCTTATTCAATGAAAAGATGCATTATGAAGGTGAATCATGAGTCCCCTAATATTTACTTCTTGAAGAATTTCTGAAAGGTACTTTGTTAGTTAGTTTAGGAGTAAATGTCTTCTGTCACTCGAACTTTAAGGCTTTGATTAGTCCTGTATTTCTGAAGAAAATGGTATGCTTTACGTTTTCCGTTGTTCGTTGTGTTTTCACCATTGTTGGTTTGGAGTCATCTTCAAGGACTCAAACTTTACTCAGACTTGTTAGAACATCAAAAAACAGTATGTTCGTTTCATTGGCCGTTACGATTTTAGAAAACGTCATGTACAACAGTGCTGTAAGTAATTTTAAGGTTTATTTATTGATTCTGACACGCTCTGGTTTTGGTGCTCTGTTAAATGATGAAGAATCCAACAACAAACTAATGTTTTCCAAAATGATTTTATGTACAGCTGCGTATTGAATAGTAATTTCCTCTTGCATCATTTGGTAGGTACAGCGATTATCATTGAGTGACATTTTTCGTACGGCTAACGTATTTTCTGGGAATAAAGTTGACAAATATTTTCTATGTGTTCTTTATACAGGGGAGAAATCGGCTTTTAAGAAATTTTCTAAATCATTTGCATAAAGTGGCAAGAAATGGAGCGTCATTTCCATGTGCTAATTGTAGACGTTGAATGCCTTTTTCTTGATGTAGTCCCTCTTTAAAATTATAGAAAGTCATAGCACGATAATATTCTAGCTTCCACTCTATTCTCTTTTCTTTCAAAATTCATTTAACGATAAACTGCAGTTGTTGCTAGTAATTATCGTCTGTGAACATAAACGTGCTCAAATTAGTATATTGCTTTGTAGCTCCTATCTAAAAAATTTCTCACATGTTACGTATGCGTTTTACAATGAATACGTTTACTACATATACATTTATCGAAATAAAAAATCAGAATCATTTCTTATCTTCTAAGGCAACAAATGTACTTCATAAAGAAGTCAATAAAATATTAGTATTGCTTTTATTTCGGTATTTTGAATTTTTTCCACTAGAGAATCAATATTTGGAAGCAGAATGTCGAGAAGAATGAAGTGAATTATCGAATGCATGTTAGCATTCAAGAAATTTCAGACTCAAGATACATTTGCTTTTTGGCTCACTCTCCCCGCACTCAGTATTTGAACTGTTTCCCAAAGAGTATATATTAATTATTTTCCAACAACAAACTTTTTGCTTTAAGAGTAAAAATTATTTTGTTGAACATACAAGTACATGTAATTGCAATTTAAAATCTTTAAATTAGACACCTTGTTGTCGTATGCAATAATTTCAGCAATGTTGTCACTTTTCATCATGATAAAAGTTTTCGATTGAAATATTGTTCAAACCCCTGGCACAAGTGCCCGAAAGTTATCAGCTGTCTCCAAATATTGCCATTTAAAATAGGGTTTGACCTTGAAGAATAAGAGAAATTGCATAAAATCAGAAATGTACGATAGATGAGAAAGGATTGCAATATATTGTTATGTTTTTCTTTTCTGACGTCAATTGTTATGTTATTTTCTTCCTTCACGTTCGTACTCGGTTTGTGCGAATTTGGAGTGAATAATGACAATATTACTTGATGAAGTATCGTAACACACTTTATTCGCCAGAATTGTCAGAACAGCTCCAAAACACGTTTTTACAGTCATCGATGAACTACTATAAATACGCTGACACGATCAGCGACACAGCCTTCAGGTTATCAGGCTATAACGATGGAAACAGCTTCACTGCAAAGCACCAGAGAACAGCTCTGCTCGGTCGTTCTCGGAACTCCACGTACTCTCGAAACTCTCCCCGCTACAACTTGCGATGCACTCGACGACACACAGAGCACAGCTCCCGACTCTTCGGTTCATTCGTTCCCGGAGCTCAACACGTCCTCTCGACGATGCACTAACTGCGGTACACTAAGAGACTCCTTCGGTGCACTCGACGACCCACTCGGCACTCGCTGCCCAGCTGTCAACTCGACCAACTCCGCACGGATTAACTCAAGATACACTAACTCGCACTCCAGACGAGGCACTCTGACTCGCCCTCTCGACGAGGCACACTCTCACACACTGACTGCGGGCCAGCAGGGTTTATATAGCTTTCGGCTTGGGTTCGAGAACATTCTAGGCTAAACCGGTAAAAATTCGTTCCAGAAGGTTCTCCAACCGTCCATAGTATATCGCCAGTTTTGTCTGCAAATGTCACCAAATGGGCGATTTCTCGCCAAATGTGGCAACCCTGCCTTTACTTGCTATTTTATGGTAACCCTAAACCTGCTTTGCGGGAAAGCTATCCCACCGCGCCTGTACATTTCTTAACAATATTTTCACTAAAAGGTATAACAACAGGTTCCTAACAGGTATGTGGGATTTGGAATACTGCCTTTGTGAAGGAACAACCTGTTCCACTTTCACGACAGTGGCGTGCAAATCCCTTTGTCAAATGCACCAGTACATCTTAGAAGCTGTACCTGTAAGACTGAAACCGTTCTAATTTTAAGCCGAAGAGCACCTGGCGATCTGTTCAACGTTAGTAACTCATCCGTTGATGAAGACTTTTGGTCTTCACCGTTGATCTATCCACGAAGACATGAAGACTTGGACTGAAGATAAAAAATTTCCCTAATAAGTTATCTCCAGCTAGAACTAAATTTTTCAAGTCACACACGAAATTCTGTCTCGTAACGCTGCCTTGTAACTTGCACAACAAGGCACAGAAGTTATTACTCATCTGTTACAAATGTCAGTTCAACAAAGGAAGTTCAAATTATATAACAAAGCTTCCTTTTCTACCTGCTTTGATCCTCATTTTACTTGCTTGACCCTTTTGCGTTGCCTAAAAACATCAATCTCATTTCTTTTGGGACAGGGTATGCAATTTTTACGCTGTTTATAATCCAACAGATTAGTCTAAGTATTCCAGGAGATTAGATAATGGCACAGCACTCAAGAAGCCTCTGTAGAGGACCCTTTAAAGAAACTTGGCTTTTATTCCTGTTACATAGGAAAAGTCACAAAAACTCCAATGCAACTAAGCCATTCGACAGGATCTGAACCTGGGTCGAAACACTAACATTCAAAGCCATTTTCTCTCAGCCATTACCTCTCAGCCATTTTTAAACGACTTCAAACGAAGTTATTTGATTAATGCAAGCGTTCAATTTTTAGAGTAATTCATTATTATTATTTAGCACCAAGCTTGTTTTCATACCCTTGTACTTTTTTACTGAATAAAAAGTATCAAAATAGGGACGATTATTTTACAAGTGTCATTGAATATTACTTTCCCTATTAAAAACGCAGAAGCATACAATCTTTATACGAGCAATTAGGGATTTTGCTAAAATTAGGAATAGAAAACCGTTAAAATTTATATTTGTAGTCTTCCATTTAATTCATTCATTCTGGGATTAAAACATTAGAATATTTAAGAAATGAATATGAAAGACCAACATAATACTAAGTAGGCAGAAAAGTATATGTAAGTATTATTTAGAAGCATTTAGGTATTTTCTCCCTCCTTTCTGCATGACTTCATGGAGTACTTGGAAGCATACTCATTGCGCATTCGAGAAGTCCTAGTCCCGGGGAGGGCACTGCTCATTTTTCACGTCTCGAGCACCAAAAAAACCTAATGAATCTATAAAGTGATGCCCGAATTAAAAAGTGGTGGACGACAATTCGTCATCACCAAGATTTGGCGATTGGGCCCCCTAATCTCCAGTCGCCCTTTAAAAGAGGGAGTATATAAAGAGGGATATATTTTTCCTCCTTTTCGCATGTCTTCGTGGGGAATTCGGAAACGTACTCGACGTGTACTCGAGAGGTCCAAGGTTCAAGTTTCGGCGAGAGCGTTGCATATGTTTACCGTTTTCTGCTTCAAAAAATGCTTAATAACTCTTTAAGATAAATATAAAAATGTTCAGTATTATATATATCCTAATACACAACTCCAGTTTTCTGTAGAGACTGAAAATATACCTGTATTTTCTTTCCAAAAAATATAGATAAGTGGTTTCTATCAGTCGTGTTTAAAAAAGTCATGTTTAAAAAAGTATATTAGATGTAAACGCATTTGAAAAAATAATTAAATGAACGTACATTCAATTTCAAATTATTTTTAAAATGATAACTGAAATAAATCATGTATTATTTAATAAGAATATGGCTAGGTATTGAAGAAAATGTTCAAAAGAATCAATGAAAGTGAAGGTTCTAAACAGAACTAAGGAGAGAAGTCTCAAGTTAGAATGAAAATCATGCTTGTTGGGTGAAAGGAACATGAGGAATCATAACATTCTTGCGTCCATGTAGTAAACATCCCAGTGGAAGATTCGTGGTTCGAACCTTGGAGACAGCACAGTTAATTTTTCACGTTTTCTGCTCTGAAAATCCTAGTGGTCTCCTTACAATTGTGACACCCAAAATAAAAATATGGTAGATGACAAATTGCCAACACATGGATTTGGTTGACTAGGTCTCTTTATTCTCCCCAATCATATTTTAAGTAGGAAAAGATTGCAAAGAAATATTGCATTCTGGTGTGCGTGTTTTCGTAGTGTTAAGTGGCTAACACGTCAGCCAACGTCGCAAGATACAAGACACGAAACTCAGCAAGGACACAGTTGAATTTTACGTATTATTAACGTAGTTGATTTTTATGTATAAATAAGCACAAAAGTCGTTTTAAAAAATAAAATATATAGTTAAATATTGAAAACATGGAGGAACATAATCTGTTTTGAACACAATCATTTCTCAACGATAAAACATCTGATTAACGAAGCTCTTTGTAACATTGCAAGATATATCAAATCTTGCTGCAGCATAGAACCAGCTCTTGCAACATCTGTCATTATATTTCTCATAATCATTCGGAATTACTGCGAATTTGAGTCAACGTTTTATATTTAATGGCACCATCGCATCAACCATTGCCTTGTGGAAGCATCTTGTGGTACGTCAGATCTAGAAAAAATAAAATATTTTTAAAATTTGATTATCATATTGTAGCTATTAAAAGAAAAACAAATTTTAATTTATATTTTTAAATATTGATTTTCAACTATTTATATGTGTAATTTAAACAAGTAATTGCTGTTTGGATGTTAACTTTTAAGAAAAATATGCTTTCTTTATGATTTAGACGATTATTAAAAACTACGATTAAAGCCTGCTATGGGAAACAATACTCAAGAGGATAGAAAAAATTTTATCGGTCATTTCCTATTACTTTTATAAAAAGTTTAACACACATAAAACCAGAAGCAACACAGAAAACGCAAGACCATTAGAAAGATGCGTCCACAGCGCTAACATCTGAATCACGTCCTCGGCGTCCCTTCTGAATCATTGTCAATAAAGTAATGTCTTTTATTTTTATTATTTTAATTTATAATTGTTTGTGTAATCATATTTTATTACATATATATATATATATTAAATCTTCTTTTAAGCAATTAATGTCTTCATTGTAAATGAAAATCTTGCATCGTCTCCTTGGTAATAAACGTAAATATATTATTTTAAATTAAAACAAATTCAAATTAAACCAAAATGAAAAACGATTGTAAATCTATAAGTAAAAAGCAATTATATAGCCTTTCTACAAAGCTTTTTTTTCATCAATGTTTCAAATGTTTCAAATAAAGACATAAAGGCAAAATATCCAAAATACAAGTTGTTGAAATTTAATGAAAAACTAATTTGAGCCAGTTTTTAATATTATAATTAAAAAAACTCTAAAAAATAATACAAACATATCACGCAAAATGCGCCGAAAGGCTTACTTAATGAATAGTTTCTGATGATTCAAATTTGGAATATACCTAACATCATTTTTGAAGAACGTCAGGAAACAATGTAATCTGCTTACAATAAAGCACAGTCTTGTTAGAAGCACCACCTAAAAAATTCACTGGTTTGCATAGTAACCACTATTATTATTTCTTTGGCTAAATAACGATAAGAATTTTTTTTTGGATGCATGCATGCCAACATTACATAAAAATAATAAAAGGGGAAATTTAGCTGTTTCATCACATTCTGTACTGTTGTGTGTCATATTCTACTCCACTTTTCAAAACTGTTAAAAACTGAAGAAAACATGTCTACTTTCTGAATGTTTAAAACAAAATTTTCATTCCTTATTGATCTTCATAAAGATTTTTAATTTATTGAAATTTCTGTGCTATATCATGCATTTAAATAAGAATAAATAATTTACATTCTAACAGAATATCATTTCTTACTTAAACATTATTAAGGGTAATTATTCTGAATCACTTTCATTTATAATGGGAAGAGCAGTATTTGTTTCAAAATATTTACATTAGTTTTTGTTATTGTTGCACAACATTGCTCTTTCTCCGCATTTTAACCTGCTCTTTTTATAGCGTCATTTTATGAACGACTCTATTACTTTTGATTGTATTTGTGTATTAATGACATCAAAGTTTAATAAAATTTGTAGCCATCTAAAACTATCCAAATTGTATAACACTGTGCGAAGTAAAAATTCAGCGAGGGAAGTATGTGACATACTGAGCTAGAAAAATAGTTTAATAGTCAAGCTTATTGTATAGTACTAATAATAAGTACGCATAAAAGTTTTAACTCTCTTTGCTACAAGAAATGTAATATTATAATTTGAAAGACATTAAAATTTTTATGTCTTGTGGAATGGTTAACAACCCACAGAAAAATAATCTGCACATAGAAATAACCATGCTTTAAGAAGAGCATCATAGTCATCGCCCTCGGCTATTATATTGCCCGAGTTTAAATAATTGCGGAATTATCGATAGCTTACAGTCAATAAAGGAAATAAGAATATCAGTAAAGATAAGGTAAAAGATTGGTGCAGAAAAAGATGCATATCTACAAATCGGTGGGATTAAAAAGGGAAAAAAAAACACTATAAATCTTTTAAACGGATTATTTCCAGACTAAGTGAAAGTTTGTTCAATATCAAAAGCTATGCATTAAATCCTTAATGAATAGACGTAAGAACTCACTAAATTAATTATCAAAAATGGAGTAAAAATAAATAAATATATCCAGATTAAATGAATTCTTGTTGTTGTCATGATAAAAAAAGCAAAATTTAACGGTTGGGAGGCCATTCTACGTAATAACATGAAATTTATAAGACTTTTTTCATATTTCTTAATGTAGATATAAACGCCGGAATTTCTAGAATTTAAATTCTCTTTCAGTTAAGTTTTAATTTTATTCAATAGTATATATTCAGTTGAAAAAGTGGGCAGCAGTAAATATTTTTTAATATTTTTTATTCAAGAACAGAAGAGAAATATATACATAAAATTTCATATTTTCCAATTTGCCTGTATTTTTAATTTTCCGTTTTAAATTTTTAATGATAAACTCATTTTCGAGTTTATCATTAAAAAGCTCTCAGGTTGCGAAGCTTTATAAATTTCTTTCATTAGAAAGAGAGAGTATTCACAGAATACATGTTTGGCAAATCCTGTCATCCAAAAGTATGTATGCCAGTGGTCAGATTTTAGACTTTAGGAAAATATTGATATGAAATACTATTTTTATGAGCTTTTGGTATTTCACAGTGAGTGGAATTACACACTTAAACTACACGCATAAACGCATAAACGTTTCACGAAAAATGGAAAGACCCAACCAGTGGCTAATTCCTCTAAATACTAGTAGTTTTGCCAAGGTTCGAATTCCGGCAAAAGGGAGCCGCCTGCATAAGTTTTTCGCCGTTTTTTCCCATGTCTAATGTAAATGAGATCCTATTTCGGTTAGAAAGTCTTGCGCATTTCACTCTCGTGTGCTTGGCCATACTGTGATAAACAAACAAAACGGAAAATTTTCATACCCTAAAGAACGCATAGTTCGACGTACAGCACTTCCCACTAAAATTGGTGATGGTTTCAATAAATTGGTGAGTTGTTCTTGAAGCCTTAGTATGAGGAAATTCGGCTGTTTCTCAGGTACTGTGAGTGATCGACGATAAATCCAAGGAGGAGGCTTCACTTTAAAACCCTAGAAAACATTAAAACAAACAGTTAATGCTAATAGCCAAATAACTTTGGTAATAACGCAGTTATTACGAAGAAGCACATTTTCAAGTTTATGATTATATAACATATTATTTTAAACTGAATGAAAAAATACACCTACTGAATAGAGAGACTATAATTAACTATAGTTGATGCATTGATTTTTATACAAAATCTAATTAAATTTCTTATTAGTACAAAACAATTGGAAATTTTTTTAGAATATTTGTTTATTATTTCATTTATATGCACTGTTTAATTTCTATACTACTGATTACCATATTTAAAATATCTACAATAAATATTTGAGATGCAATACAGAAATTTTGTCTATTATTATTTAGAAAAAAATAACGATAAATATAATTAAAATTAGATAGTTTATAATAAATAAAGTTTTAAAAGTAAAAGCAAAATAATAATAATAATAATGAAAGCTTTCAGATTTATATTACGCCCAAAGAGGACTTTTTTTACATTTACACACACATAGACGTTTTAAGAACACTTGGGCTAATGTCCCTTTGGGCTAAAAATATTTAAAAACTGCATATCTTTAGAATTTCCGATAGACACTCTCGCGCAATGGAGATGAAAATGTCTTTTTTTTTTTTTTTTTTTTTCCGTACACTGTTACCATTGCTCGCTTAGAAGTCGTTGAGTTTGTTAATGAAACATTTCGTTAAAGTTTTACAAGATATGAAATGCACAATAAAGCAAATTCGAAATTTGAAATTTTGGCTTCCAGATGCTCATATTCGGGTGGGGGACTAAGTTATTCAGAATTTGATAGCCTTTAGGTTCCGTTGTTTTTTTTACAATGCTAAAAACATGCATACGTACATGCAGATTCTTCATTATTTAATTTCTTTAAATATAACACTGGGTGATAATATTTGTTGGCAACAATTTGAAAAGTGAACCGACAATTGAATTGATGCAAAATGCCGTTTCGAGACCAACAGCCTTTCTGGGTTAAAAATAAATTTCAGTGCATTTCTAGAAAAGTGTAAGTGTTATTGTTAAATGGAATAATTAGGAATTTACTACATGGGACCAATGAATTTTAACTGCTTAACGATTTTACTCACGATCGTTAAATAGTTATTAATTCTTAATGTTTTAATTTCTTATTCCAATGATATATATTTTGTTAAGTGTCATTAATATAGTTCAAATTTATTTTATAGCAAAATGCATATAAAGCAGTTTTTTCAAACCTTATTCATGGCTCATTTTTAATATTTATGTCGAAATGCACTATTAAGCTGGAGGAATGCATCTCCATTTAAAAACGGTAATTTAAGAATGGTGCATACTAAACTTTCAACTCAAATTCCTTAATCGAGCTAAAACTTCCCGATATTTCTTATTTGAACCTAGAATAAAAATTGGAAGCATTTTAAAATTACATTTTAGCATTTTTATTAAACTTTCACTGACTTTTGAACATACACTAATCATTACATATCGTGTAAAATCTATATCTCTTTGGGAACATAAACTTTTAAAAGGACTCTTGAAGAATTATCTTCTAACCTTGTGAAACAAAACAGAAATCAGGAGAAAGGTCTCTAAGACCCTTTTATTCAAACATAAAATTAACAATGACCCAACTTGGGTTACAAGAAGCCACACACTTCTGGCTTAACAGAATAACGGAACAAATACTAATTTCAAGGTGTGATAGATTAGCCTAACGGCTCACAGAATACTTTCAGTCTCGGAAGAACTCTGGTTTATAGTAAAGCCGCAACACAAGCCCTAATGGCTGGAACACTCAACGCCGCTAACGCAAGTCGCTAATAATACCAGCTTAACGTGGACTGGAATAGGCGGACAAACCCCTGAAAATAACTTCCGAAACTCTTGCTTGCACTTCATTTTACCTTAATATGAATAAACTCTCGCTATCTCATTTACATTCTGGCGTGAAAAACGTGGATGAAAGAGACTGATAGGAAAGGTTTCTCAACTTAAAATTAACTATTAGTTAAAATAAATAGATATATTGCATAAGCAAAGGGCATTTACAAAAGAAAAGTGAGCTTAAAATAATTATAAGACTAATATCATATCAATATTTAAAATTAGGCAAAAAGTAATCGCGTAGATTTTGAATATAACACCCAACCTACTGCCTAGTTTATGAATAAAGTTACACTGTCATGTGCATCAGAAGAAGTGAATAATAAAACTAATTTTAAAAACATACTATTATTTTTTAATTGCAATTATTATTATTCTCAGCTATTTCATTTATTGTTCGTTCTTTTTCATGTTTCCAAAGCGTGTGACAAATTCATTCGTCTTTTGTCAGATATTGGTATTTGTCCAGGCATTGGTAAATTATGGCTTTTTTGAATAGCGAAAGATTTCATAAATGCTTCTTCAACATCTCTATTCTCTTTTTTCTTAACTTTTCTTCGTATCCAAATTTTTTCCAACAGCAGAATTGTAGAGTTTTGGTTTTTTTCATATGATACCAGCTGTAGATTTGGGCAAACTGTATTTCTGGCAGATATCTATTTGACTGCATTTATTTTGTATTTTTCGAAGACTGTTCATCTTATAAGGTATTTTTCCCGCCTTTTTAGCGAGCCTTCGTGGTGTAGTGATCAGCACACTCAGCGCGTAATTGAGAGGTCCGCGGTTCGATCCCTGCGGTAGCTAATTTTTCATCTCTCCTCTCCGAAATATGCCTAATGTCTCTACAATCTTATCATAAAAGTAAAAGTTTAAGTTTACAGCTTGCCTTGAATATGAATTTTTGACAAAAAATAGAGTGCAGAGAGTTTATTAAAGAATATGCGAGAATTTTGCTCTTCTAGAAAGTATGAAAAAGGAAGATGATTTCGCCACCTATGTGTTCTAACCCAATGTCGATTGAGAGCTCAGTCAATTTCCTCAAGATAAGTATAGCTCTGACTCGGAGATTTAATAATGCTTGTAAAGAATCGATAATGTCTTGCAAAATACCTAAATAATGCAAAATCCTTTTTCTAGAACTCGGAGAGCATTTACGCTCAACCAAAAAGAACCGATAAAGATAAAAAAGTGTTCATTCTATAAAAGAAGATTCAACTGAAATATACAAGCACATACGATTCACTACTTCCTGAGCCGGGGAATTCAAAACTTCCATCATAGTGTCAATCTCGCTTTGTCTGGCAGCTCAAACGCAGAACTTGAATGGAATCAGAGAACGCATTAATGTTTTTTCGTTAGACGATACACCATTTGATTAACTAAAATATGTTTATTATATCTTCCTTCTCCCAGAGTTTGATCTCACTCCTGTCTCACAAAATCTTTGTTTAGAACACAGAGGAAAGTGGTGATGGAGGTAAAAGAAAATAACATCAAAGAAACAATATATTACAACAAGTAAGTGTGTAGGAAAATGGACGAGACCAAAAGTTTCGTTTTGTTATATCCGGAGATTCATTATAGTAGGCTTAGAGACTGTACCTACAGATATCATTATTGTGTTTTAAAAAAAAGTTGTCCTACGTAAAATAAAACCATCCATTTGATCAAAATACGTTGCAATAGATGATTTCACAAAACATGACTGATTTGGATTGCATTACTTAATTATGATAAAGTATAAAAAGGGAAGCAGCTCAACTATAATTCAGTTTTGATCTAGAATGTCACAAAGCATCCATACTCAACTTGCGCCCATGGTTGAACTAGCAAGCGTAAATACTCTGTCCGAAATGGAATTAGTTTACATTTCCTACAAACAAAGATTAGGGATCTGTGGTAAAATATCAAATATGTAAAACGCATGTTAAAATTTATATTTTACATGTCTTGGAAAGCTTTAATTTTCGACGCCACTGGTACAACTGTTAAAATACTGACAGCTGTCGAATGGTCATATATGCGCGATTTGCACTAATATTTGAGTTTGAATAGGAACTAAGTATTTTTACAATGAATTTATAAAACGAAGTATTTATTCAATGAACGAAAAGAGAAAAGTATGCTCAATTTCGTAAGTTAGTGCCAAAAAAATGTAAGGTTGCTCGCGTTTTTTGCATCAACATATTTTTTGAATCATCCTATTCTAAAATGAAATTTGTGAAGAGTTTATACAGAAACTGGTTTACTGATTATCTTCTTGATGACGCGTTAAAAGTAACATGAGACAAAAATAGTCCATGCCAAAAATCACATTAAATTTCAAATAATAACTTGGATATCTTATAGTTTATTTTTCATTTTTATGTTAGCAAATTACAGAATACTTTGTACTATATTGCGGCTTAGTAAATATATGTACACAACACGAAATAAAATAAACGCTGAATATGGAACCAAAAGAATCAGACAATTATTATAAAAACTTATTTATGGACATTGATGTTGCATAAATTTGCTGCTCTTGTTAAACAGCATGTAACGCATAAGAAGTGGTATTTTAATAAGATCCAGTGGACTGGTTCGAATAATTGTGTTCTGATTTATCTAACTTGCCTGACAGAAAACTCAGAGCAAATCTTCGAAATTTTATAGTGGCTAGAGGTGTAGGATTGCGTATGTTGCTGATATGAACATTGGGTAATCTGTGATCTTCCCAGTTTCGCACCAGTTTTGAGAAGCCCCGAGGCCAATCATTCTTCTTCCTCTACCATCAGGCCACTAGACAGAATTTTCGCCTCGCTGTGTTCTTTAAATTCCACTGTGCTATAAATTCTACAAAACCAAGCATTCTGTAGGATTCTAACCCGAGCCCAGAGAAATGCCAGGTAGCAACGCTAACCAATATATCGAACACAGCGGCCCTAATTGATTTTAAGTACCCCAGTGACGACCAAGGACCATCAAAGACACCCGTCATACATGTCCATATGATAATAACATATTTTAACATTTTCTCTTTGAAGCTTATTTCGATATGCCTTCTAATTTATTATTGTCTGAATTGTTATAATCCGAACCCCAGAATCTATTTTTCGTAAGTATCCAGAATAATGGGTTCTTATTTAAACTTAAACAAAAACTTAACTTATTTAGATTTAAACTTATTTAGACTTAACAACAAAATGAAATTCAGGTACATAGCCTCTGTTTACAAGAAGCAACGTAAAATGGTAAAGGGGTCACAAGAACAGTAATGTGATTTCAGACTGACTGACTGCCTTACTATGAAAAATGATAAGGCGCTTAGTAACTGAAATTGGTACATCGAAATGTTTTCTTTATCTTGTTAGAAAACTGTTAAACTTATGGTCTTAGTTAATTCAAATTAGCATTATCTTCTTGACCCCGACCTCTCTAGACCCGACGAGTTCCTCTAGACTTCGGGGCTACTTTTCTTTTAATCTTTCAAGACTCTGCTAGTGCAATAAGATCTTTTAATTTTATAATTATAATGTCAAATTTGTGAATATTAATTTTCTCTGTATCCGGAACAGTTGCCATAAATTTTAGTTTTATCCACATTAAAATTTTTGGTAAATGTAAATGAGTAAAATCTTTTTTAATACTTTTTGTCCATTTTTAACCTATCAGTTTTAATATTACCAATAATGTATCTGTACAAAAATTTGTCTCAACTTCCATCGCCAATCAAAGAAAGAATACTCTAAAATTTTCGGTATTAATCCAAATATAATTTTAATGGATGGATTGAATTTTATATTAAACAGTCTATATTACTTATGTTACAATTCCCATTAAAAGAATGAGACAATTATTAAAAATACCTGATTTATCGACATCGATGTAGAAGGTAGCGGCATCCACTGAACAACATGTGAGGGCACATGAAGTGGTATTTTGACAAGATTCCAGTGCACTGGTTCTTCTACTGGTGGCATGGGTAAAGGAGTCAGCGGTGAATCTTTGATGACTTTTGTAATGAAAGCCCCTAAGGCAATTGATGCTAAAAATGTAATCTGTCGGCGACATTGATGCAAGAGATGAAGATGTGCTGAAACAGAATTCAAGTACAAAATTACCACTCGATTTCCATTCAATTCAAGTGTTGTACCTTAAGGTAGCAATTATTAAATTTTACAAATTTGAGGACCATTTTTACATGATGTGCATTTTACTGGATCTCTAACTATAAATTTTTGCTTAGTATTACAGAAATATCTTCAAATATATAGGCTATTTTTTTAACTCTGCAAGTAGCTACAGTCTCATTTTAGTTTGCAAATGCTGCAATAATTAGCTTTGTTTATTATCTAAAATATTGTGATTGCAATATTTTTTATAGCTATTTCTGCTTCCTCTGGAAATGTGTGCTACTTTACAATTATATGTACAGTTTCTTGTACTACGTTTGAAACACTTATATCTCTAACCGATTTCGGTATGGAAGATTTGTGTTAACGTTCGCAATAAAAGAAAATCTTTCAATACGTTACATAGAAGGAAAATAATTATTTGTTACATTTTTTCTCCAGTTTTTTTTATTAGATATATTCTTCCCACCAAACGTTGAGAAGTTATTCTGTTTATGTTTTCTGATAGTTCTGAAACTTGATTCTGTTCTAAAGAGAAATTTATTCTAAAGAGACTTGTTTTGACGGAGCTGAATAACGTAATCAAGGAAACAAATATCTGGATAACTTCCTTCAGACGTTTAAGAAGAAAACAAAATTTTCAATAATAACGTAAGACACTACATCTCCTCTTTGAAGTTACCTAGAAATTTCGGTAACGAAAGAAAATTTATATCTATACATACTCTATACTCTATACCTATATATACTCTATCGTTAAGCCAAGAAATAACTGAAGAGGTTGCAAGCAAAATTTGGAATTCATATACTAACTTATCATAATTTTGTAAACAAAATTATTAAAATAAAAAAGCATTTGCTTTGAAAAACTATTGAATCATTAACCTTCACTGTTCCACGCAGCTTAGGTTAATAATGGTTACCTTGATATGTTTTAGTTTCCCACAAGACTAAATAAGAAATACGAGTTCTTTTACATCTGTTTAACCTTGATTACAATATACGTTTAATTTCTGAATTTATCTCATAAGATTTATCAGGACTTTAAAATAGAAGGTTTATTAAAACTGCCTGATAAATAGTTGCAGAAGCTGCTGACAATACGACTATCACCATTTTATACTGAAAAGCGAATTCCTATATGATATATTGCACAAAAAAATCGAAAAATCGCAATTATATTATTTTTTTATTTCTCATTTTCTCATAAATGAGGAAAATTTACCTCCCCCCCCCCCCCCCGAAAAAAAAAAAAAAAAAACTAATGAACAGGGAAAGTAAGGAAAACTCTTTTTATTTATTTAAAGTAATCTCAGTACCCTGGCATAAATATAATAAAAAGTCTTCCTTTCGATGAATAAAACCAAATTTTTGAAAATCTTTATAGATTTTTTGCACCGTGACCTATAAATAAGCGCTTCATTTTTTTTCATTAGATCCTCTTTGCTGAAACATGTAATGCTAAATAAGCTTAAGATTTATCTTACATTCTAAATACGCGAATTTCTTCCTAAACACCCAGATTTCAAATCTAAACATTTCTCTCGAAATTCTTACTATAGCAACTAGAATGGCCACTTTCATAAACTGCTGAAATGAAAATGATGTTATGCTAGAGATGATTTCCTTTAATAAAAAATATGCTTTTCTCACTTTCATTTCATGTTCTTTGGAAGACAAAAATACTACATAAAGAAGTCTGTAAGAGAAAGATTGTGTAATATAGAAAGATTAGTACAGTTAGTAAGAAACGACTTTTCACCGGGCAGAGCCTCTTGTTAAGATAAAAAGAATTATATAAATTAAGGTTCTAGTAATATTAAGTGGAAAGGACTGTAGTAAATCAATGTCTAGTTTTAAAGTCTATTAGGTTATTTTGAAGCAGAAGACATGAAAAATTTGCAATGCCCTCGCCGGGAGTCAAGCCTGGACCTCTCGAATACGCGCCGAGTGTGCTACCGTTACACGATGAAGACATGCAGAAAGGAAGGAGGAAATACCGTATATGGTATTCAATGGTATTATATGAAATAGTTGAGATTCTGAAATCTAAATCTCAATTAATTCTGAAAGTATACAAAATCATGAAAATTATAAATAAAATGGATGTTACTTAATGTAAAAATGTTACATATCATAAATGTTCTCATATATATCCAGTTCATGATTATCCGGGCTAATTAAGCCTTTGTTATGGGCAAGTAGGTCAAGAATGACACAAAATGCTAAAAGAATACAATATTCTTTACAATATTCTTTAATTCCATTTTTTGAAACAATGTCTTGATCTGAGTAGAATTTACAACATTCACCATTTTTGCATTTTCCAGAAATTCTTTTAAGCTTTCTTCATTTATATTTTAAAATTAAGAACACCAGCAATTGTTTCAGCAACGTCTGCTGCTACATCCTCTTTTCTTGTTCACTTGCAAAAATTCTAATAAACATTTATGATATGTAACATTTTTGCATTAAGTAACATCTATTTTTGGGGCTTAAGATAGGAATATCTTCTTCTCTTTTGTTCTTTCAACTAAATTAAGGTTTTCGATTAAATAAAATTTAACTAACTTCCTTGTATTTGTCGCAGCTTCAGTTTTGCAAAGTTCATGAATTTTTTTTTTTTTTTCTTTTTTTTTTCTCTGTTTCTTGAAGTCGCATATAGATTGAACACTAACACCCCACTTTAGCCAAATTGTGAACTAATTTTCCTTTTAGCAATTGCATTTAAGTTTTATTCACTTGTTAAACTAAATTTGTATCGTTTCGTAAGGTATTTTCTCCCTTTTGTAATGTAATGGAAGCACATCCAGCTAGCAATCGGAAGAAATTCCGGAGTTCGAATCCCTGCGTGGACATTGCACATTTTTTAAGTCTCCTGCTCCGAGGTTAAATGCCTAATAAACTCTACAGTTTAAATAGTTGCTTAAGTTAATTTATTCTTAGATTAAAATACACACGCGGAAATATTTTAAATGTAGTATTACTTAAAACTGAAGCAAATCTTTACAAATAATAATCTTCTGATGAAACTTAAAATATCGAACAATAGAAATCCTACTAGAAAATCATTTTACTTGATTGGACCTCTGTTGTCCTAAGCTGCAAGAAAACCATCCCGGAAATAACTGATATTGTGCCTAAGTTGATAAACATAAACATTATGCTCCCATACTTTTACGATTACGAAAATCATAAAACTGTTTTTATCTTCAAAATTAATAAAAACAAAAAAATGAAAATCTGATAAATATGCTACAGCATCCATAAAGGGATTTTACTTGTATTTTAAAGCTTTATCTATCTCTCTCACACGCACCATTAAATTTAAAAAAAAAAAAAAAAAAAAAGGTTTTTTTTGGGGGGGAAGGGGAGGGAACGATGCTCGGCTAGTTTTTCACATGAATAATTGGAAGTTAACGAAAATCGAATGCCAGAAATGGATCTCACAATTCCGATGTTCAGTTTGTAGTTTTTCCCCCTATCTCTATTTGATGAGTATTGATGAAATAGAAGGAACTTACAAAATTACTCAATTAGTAGCAGTATTCCGAGTAGTAATTTAGTAAATTTTCCAATTAGTAATTTATGTTAATAATCTATACTTGGAGATGCTGTACCGTGGCATCGTACTAAAATCTCTTAACCTCTGAACTCGCTCCTGTCAGTAGCAAGTTCAGAGATGTCTACTCCCGTTACTAAAATTCTAATATTTCAGGGCTCAAACTTTAAGAGAAATAGGTATTCCGCAATTCAGCTCATATTCCTCGGTATAAAAGGTTCGCAGAAAAGTCATGTTACAAAAGTAGAATTTGAAATAATTGAATCTGGCTGTTAGAGGACGACGTTAATGCATTATTTATTGAAGAAAAGTACGAAGTGAGATTATCGTGGGTAGCGCAGTTTGTGATGTAGCGCGAACGCAGTTTCAACCCTTCGCATGATCTTGCATTTTGAGCAAAGAAATTCAGGTTTTTCTGATCAGAAAAAAATTTTTGTCCAACTCTAACCATTTTTTCATCTTTCCTTCTGTGATTCCGCTGCTCTCTTTTATGAAGATGGTTATACGGGGGTCAATGTCTTCAGACAATTCAAACTATTCGAAACGATGCAACGACCAATTCAGGGCGTACCAAAAGAGGAATTCTACCATTGCTACCAAGTCAAGAATGATGGATGTGTTTCGGTAGAGTTACTTCGAAAGTGACTACTAAAATAATTTTTTTATATTTCAAATACATCCGCTCAACAAAGCGTTTTTCTCTAATGGTTTTTGAACGTAGGAATAGAGATAACGGCGGAAAAGATCCCGATATTTTAGTTTTAATAGTAAAACTAAATGCAACAGTAACTAGATTTTTTATCTTTGAAAACGAGCTAGTTCTGTATTCTGTTTTTGCGCGTTATGGAATCAAATAATATAAATCTTTCGGATTCCAATTATAATATTATGATGTAACTAGCTATGACTCAGAAGCAAATAATTTTTTTAAAATAAAAGTCGTGAATTTGATATCAGCAGTAAAGCAGTGTTGTCACTGTCATCGAGGCATGCACTGGCTTAAAATAGGGCCTAAAATTAAAAATGCTAATAATAACTCGTGACACATTGCCTGCAGAAAGTTCTAAACTAATAAAAAACTAATAAATATGCATTGAAAAGATTCACAAAATAAATGTAAACATAGTCTTAAACAAAGTACCAAACATGAATTCTACGAAGGAATCAAGTCAGGTAGGGGAGCGTGCCAAATATTACATTGACTTATAAGAATTGCATAGCGAAGATTAAAACATAAGAATATTGTTTTCTTCAACTTTCAGTTTTGTACGAACTATTCTTAAAAACTTTGTAAACGCATGTAATTGTGTATATATAAAATACTAAAATTCAGAGCAAATTCTACCTTTGCATTAAAATGCTAGGAATTCAAGTAAAATAATCGAACTGAAATAGAAGATAAATACTTCAAATAAATTCATAAATTTTCATAAATACATCGGATATTGATAAAAATGGGTATTGATATAAAAGGCCGTGAAACATGCCTTTAAAAAGCGTCATTCAATTTCGTATATATCACTTTAAAACAAATTTTCTTTTACTGTGATTCTGAAAACATGCGCATGCCTTTCGCTTTCATTTCTATGAGCTGAACTAAGACGAAAAATTGCCTAAAACATATAAAATCTGTAATCCGATTTATGAAAGTTATTGAAGTAAAAGTGGATTAACTATGTCACGAACTTATGAACGTGGGAAACAGAGATTGGCCTGAGATATTTAAGCGAGTTGAAAGGTAGTCTCTTCTTTTAGACTTCAGCAAGGAAAATAGCGTTGCGGTAAATCACCTTATTTTCTGAAACTTTTCGATTAATATGCTTATAAATGTAAAACCAATTTTCAACTTTTTATCGGATATCCTTCAAACTTTAAAGAGCAAGTATCCAGCCGTTGGGTGGTCAAAAACATTTCAGCTTTGGTGCCATTGCGGTGGTGGCAGAGTACCTGCTTATTTTAATGATTTATCCAGCTCTGTTTGAGGGTCATAAGTAGGTAAGTAGCAAAATGAAGTTGCTAAAAAATAGTGAATGCTCTCGGTATTACAATACTCAGCTATATTAAATATCCGTCAGAAATGGCTGAATCTGTGGGGCATTTAGCCACCTCATCACCGATAACGCTTCCGAAGATCCACTTCCGGGAGTGACCGAATTACACCTGTGAGAAAGGGAAAGTTCGGTTCCCAGTTTTGATGAAGGATATCCCAGAGGACAGATCTAAAAATATTCTACACTTTTGCGTCTATCACCAACATCTCAAGATAAATTTCGACTGGGCAGTAGTTTAAGGGACTCGTAAAGACACTTTACGCTAACAAACATCCCTTCCTTTTCTGGAAATCGAACCCGGATTCAAGACTACGGCAGCTGGCTTCCCTGCTATTAGGCCATCAAAATAAAATATGATGAATGATAGTTTGTGACCACTAGGATTTTGTCGACTGGGTATCAAATTCTTGTCCAGTCTTTCTTTAAATGGATAAGGGAGAGAGAGGAGAAAGGGAATGTATGGAATTATGGCATCTTTTGTGCGTGCTCTCCTGACATAAATGATTACGATGTCCATTTGGCAAAGCTGAACATCACTGTTCAAATCCCACAGAACACAGAAAGCTCTATTCATTTTTCATATTTTTCTTTCCGAAAAACCTAATAATATAGTTAATAGCATTTATCTTAATGCAAAAATCTTCTTCGTCTTCTAAGACCCAGGTGTCAGTTTTACTTTGCTTTTCCTGTTAATTTCATATTTGCTTATAGGGACATATAGGTAATACATAGCACCTTGAAATAAATAGATGTTCAAGTTTTGAATGTATTGTAAATAAAATTGCATTTTCTGTAGCATACTTACATGTACCTGAGCTTACATTCTCTGTTTATAAATAGAATTTTCTTTTTGTCCGTATTTACCTCAACGATACAACCAGATATTGCACATATTACTGCCATAAAAAGATTAAGGTTTTTAAGAAACCTTTTAGTTTTAAAGAAAATAATTAATAATAATCCTTCAATTTTATAATATATCAATAAATATACGTCGAGGCAAGCCTCATAACCCCTAATCCCTCTGTCTAATATAGCCAAGTAAATTTAAGAAGGTGCGATACTGTTGGCCAGAAAGAAAGACTAATGGTTAAGAAGAGAGCTCAATGCGTAATTAGTGAATGCGCACGAGAGCATTATTCCGGTAAAACTATTCGTAAATTATAGAGCTTTCTCTCTAGGCCAGTGTCATGCTTGTCATTCGCCGTATTAAACAGTTAATTTTCCTAATTTTTGAATAATCTAATTCTCACGGATTTTATAAATATAATTTTTATGCATTATGAAGCTTTTCATTTTTCAGATATTTTTCCCTTCCTTTTATTTTCATATAAGAAGTAAAGGAAGTATTGAAATCGTGATAAATTTCAGGAAGTTTCAATGGAAATATCTATTTTGACCGTACACGAATTCATTTGCACAATTTTTTCGTGTCGTCTGTACGTACGGATAGAATAAAGGTGTGATTTTCCAAAGCGGATAGTAAAATGGATTTAAATACATTCAGAAGGGAATTTTAATGATATTGTAAATTAGTTCGAAGATTAATTCTTTTATATGTTTGCACATTATTTTAACTTTAAATTTGCTTTTCTACGCATATACATTTTTGTTAAAATTTATACTTATATATATATACTGTACATATATATTTACATATTGTTAGGAAATGACTAGCCGCGGTAAGATAGCTTTCCCGCAAAGCGGGTTTAGGGTTGCCAGATCGGGCACGAAATCGTCCATTTGGCGACATTTGGCTACAAAATTGGCGATATACCTTAGACGGAGCGAGACCATTCTAGAACGAATTCTTGCCGGTTTGCCCGATAATGTTTCCGAAGGCAGGTCAAAAGATATAAAAACCCTGCCTGTACGCAGAATAGTAGTACATTGTTGAGTTTATCCTAAAAAATATTCTTCGAGTGTATCGTGAGTTTTATCGTGAAGAGTATCTTGAGTGCGTTGAGCTCCAAGAGCGATCTACCGAGTCGGGAGCAGTATTTAGTGTTTTGCCGTTATAGCCTGATAGTCTAAAGGCTGTGTTGTTGATTGTTTTAGCGTGTATGTCATAGTTTTCGACGGCTGTAAACCTGTAAACGTGTCTTTGGAAATCTCCTGTGTAATACTGACGAATAAATTGTGTTTTGTTTCTTTATCAATCACTCCAAATCCACCACGAATCCGTAGAACTCAACAATATATATATTATATATAAGAAGTAGTCGACGAAGCGTATATATATATATATGTGTGTGTGTGTGTGTATGTGTGTGTGTGCGTGTGTGTTTGGTATGTATACCCCCCTTACCCGGATTAAAACCTTACCCTGTCTTTATTTTCTCAATCGTTGGTCCTAGTTATATACTTTCAGCTACAAAAATGTTTCAAATGACGAAGATATTCAGGTTTTGGCAATATCAATTTAACAACAACAACAAAAATAAATAAATAAATAAATAACGAAATGTATAACTAAGTTAGAATAAGTTTAAAGAATAAGTTTCGAGGAAATAAGTTTAAATGAAGAACAGGAAAAAAATGTGCATAATTGAACAGGCTTCACAATAAAGTTATGTGGTGTCCATATTAGATTTTTAACGTATGAAACTGTTTCCAAAACGAAAAACTTGTGAAAAGATTTTATTTAATGAAGCAATAAATCTCAAAAGAGATCATGTGGGCAATTTTCGCTTCTGGCAGAATTTTGTCACTGATTTGTTCGAAGAATGAGCAGTAAAAAACGTTATTAAATACCTTATTGAGATAATTGATGCATAATATAAAAAATAGCATCATAGATTTTTACGAATCTTATTTACAGCAAAGAAAATTCTGTTTTCATCATTGCAGCTCCCGTGTTGCAAAACAAAGCGTCTTCTCATCTGCGAAGAATTTTACAGGAGGTTTAAAACAAAATTAGCACACTTCGTTTACTTATAAAGTTGTTATTTCTCATAATAGAGAAATATATCATATACTACCTGGTTAAACACAGAAAGGATGAGTGTTATGTATATCAGTTATTTATTGGATGTATCTATGATTCCGTATCATACTCAGGCTGAAGAACAATTACGAATAATAATTCTGTAACATATAAGCCGAATTTCTTATAATATGAAATAGGCGAGGCTTACACAAAACAACCAATCTTAAAAGGGTATTTTTATTTAGAAAAAAATCACATATTTAGTTTAGAAACTTATAGGCCAAGAATAAAACATACTATTATTTTGCGCGTTTCAACTGATTCAGCAGTCATAAGCAGTTAACATTAGTACTTGCAATGGCTTTTTACTTTAGAAACAAAAATAGCACAATAATATTGATAATTCAGTCTAAATAATAAATAACATCGAAATATTAAAATTAACAGCTTACACAATTAAAGAAATGTACATTGACTTTAAAGAATTTTCATAAATTAATTATTCTAGTTTTTAACGAAGTAAAATCATTATTAGTATTTTTTCAAAATCGATTAATTATTTAATCAATGTTTATACTTTCATAATTTTTTCTTGACTAAATAAAGACTTGAAATAATTCTTATTATTTTAAGTTTGTTTGTTTTCAGCTCTTTTAAGAATGAATAAATGATACTGTTTCGGATCTTGTTACTTAAGAAAGACTTATTATAAAACAGAATTCCGCATAATTCCTTTTTTAAAATGTCACGTGTTATTATAGTAAAAATTCTATGCACTAAACAATATGATTCTAGTTACATAAAGTATTCATAAGGCCAAATCTAATGTAAATTAATTTATTCATACATAAATAATTTTGCTTTTTATTACAATTTTCTTTATTATTAATTCTTATTTCCTGTTGATCATTTGACACCTCCTCTAGTTGCTAAGTAGAGAGTGTAATCTGGCCTCATCCTCCACAACGCTGCCTCTTACATTTATTCGAAGACAGCATTAGTGTGTATAATCGTATAAAACTACATACGGTACTGTAACAGTTGGATGAAGACACTGTGTTCAAAACAAAATGCATTACAACAAAATACCTTTACTGAGGTCTATTGTATTAATTAACTAATGAATTAATAGAGTATTACAAAACAAGAAAACAAATGTGATATAATTACCTAATAGATTTTCAGTTAAAATTAAGAATATAATACATAAGAAGAAAAATTATGACATGATTATAAATTATGAAATTATAAAAAACTGAAATAGCAAAAAATAAAAGTTACAAAAAATACTTTGCCCCTCCCTTCACAAAAGGTAAAGGAAGAATTGGACTGCTTGATATTCTTACCTGTTATGGATCTGTATGAATTTTTGACTTTACTCAGGTCTTCTGAATGGACAACACCATTTTGGAATGATAAGAATCCAACGCAAAAAGTAAGTGTTATCGATAGCCTCGGAAGAGCTCCACACCCTAAACTCATTGCAGTTGGTAAACTCCATCTGCAAACATCGGGGGAAAAAAGGAAAACTAAAACGCATTAGTTAATCCAAAAGGAGGCCAGAAGATACACTTGCTGAAGATAACACCGGAAATTTGAGGTTCCAAAGCGCTGAAGATCATGGACCACTGATTGGGTAAGGCGGTCTTACTTCACGCATTCCTGACCGCGGAGATCAATATTAAAGGTGGTTTCGTTGACGAAACGGGAACGTCCATTCGAGAACAATAAAGAGATGGAAAAGAAGTGGCTGCAGAAAGAATAACGCATGATATGCATGGGTGATGAGGGAAGACTGAAGATACTTGTTCGTTGATTTCGCTGATATGTGGCGCGGTAATTTACTGAATAGCTACTTACTGCTTTCTCAATGTTTTTTTTTTTTTTTTTTTTTTTCCATTTCACGACTTTTCATTAAGAACAGTGAATTTGTATCAAATCTGACTAGAAATAAATAGTTACTGAAAAATAACTCATTTTTAAAGTTAAGAAGAAACTGATATCTAAGAATGTTGTAAAACAGCTGCACAAAAATATTGTTATTGCTCGATGCTTCCTTTTTCAGCATAAACTCATGCAGAGAAGAAACTGACAGTCGCCCGAAAAGTGTATTTAGACTTTTTCTTTACATTTTTAGAATTTAATGTAGAGTGCTTTAGAATTTAATGTAGAGTGCATTTATATGCTTGAAACTGATATTCTTGCCCTGTTTAAATTATCTACATCTAATACGAGAATACTTGTAACTAATTATGTTCTTAGTTAACTAATTTTTAGTTGCTTATATTTTTTGTTTGCTGTTGTTGCTGCCTTCTTCTTATTCTGGTATCATTATAATCAATTGATGGAACTTATTTAAAAATTATAATCAGTAGAGAGATATATTATTAGAGATGATAACGAATAAACATAATATTAAAAACCATAATGAGCCATTTGTAACATTATATTTAAAAACAGTAATGAAAGAATTTAAATAATAACAAAATCAATTTAATTTTAATAGAGTTTGCAAATGATGCACTTATAGAATTAGAATTCCGATTACCTCTATTTATTTACTATTATTCAAAACATGATGTTTACTCTCTCTTGCAAAATGTATGAGGGAATGTTTAAATTAATTTAATATATTAAGTACGCTGGCTTAGTGAAAACATATTCTAAAAATTTATTTTATTGAATGCTGAAACTAACAGTTCGACACTTTATATTTAAAAAATGTCTGCCAAAACAGCGAATCACCCATTGCGTATAATACAGTATAATTTAATGCGATACACTCTTTCAGAAGGGTTTCTCTCAGGAAATACAAATTATAGAAATTTATTAGTCATGAATAAGTTATATTTTAAGGCGTTTAATGTCCATAGGATTGTAATGAAATGTTTCGTATGCCTTTCATAAATTTCGGTGATTCACCGCGTGTTAAATGGTATGCATTTTATTTTAATACAGTAAACAGAGTATTTAAATTGTATTATTTGTTAATACACCGTAATGAATATTTTGTAGATGTATGAATGTGTGTATACATACCTCAAAATCTGATTTCAGTTAAAGCATTTTATTAAACTTAATTTCAGTTTGAGCATTTTATTAAATTTATGAAATAAATATGTTTAGAACATGCAACTGACTTTAAAAGTTAAAGTTTCAGAAATATTTTAAGGAATAATTGAACACTGAGTGTAACCGGTACAGGTATTAGCAGGAAAACCACAGCTTTTATATCATTGGTCATCAGGCGTAGACCTCATAGCTATTTATCTAGAACTATCAGGGAAAGCATTAAAATTTGGCTCCAGCTTCAAATATTATTTGGGAGCTAAGAATTCAGAGTCTTAAGTTTAATGAAATGTACATGAAATACTGTACAGCTGGGTATATTATACGAGCATGTTTATATGAGACATCTTTGTAAAAGTTGTAAATTGTTGTAATAATTGTTATTGTTAGTCCAAAAGGGCAATTTGCCCAGAAGGGCTATTAATTTGGTTTTGGCATTTTGCGTTGGTTCACTACAAACGGCGTTTCACTTTTCAAATCGTTGCCACCAAGTATTAGAGACCTACATTATATTTGTTGTTGTTGTCTTGTCCATATTACATGGAACAATGGTTGCCATAGCCTATACCGAAGACAGGTTGGACTTCTATTCCCACCCCCAATTTTAAGAGACAGCATCCCGAAGAGGGATCCGGAAGTTTCCCACCTCTCTTCGCTTCCACCAATCCACATTAGAGGACTTTCAGCTCGCCGCATATTTAGAGTGCCGCTATGCCGCACAGACACTATACATTTACAAACATCCAAGTCTTCTCCGGGATTCGAACCGGGGCCTTCCAGTACCGTAGTAGGCTTCCGTAATCAGTATACCGGTGTGGGCGACTCGCATTAAATTTAAAGAAATTAAATAATGAAGAATCTGCATGAATTTATGTATGTTTCAGGCACTCGACAACGACAGTACTTGGAGCCATTACATTTTGAATAACGAAGTCCTTTGGTATTTGGCATTTGTGTTGCTATCTATCTCCTATTTTGTAAAACTTTAATGAATTTTCGATTAACAAACTCAACGATTTCAAAGCGAGCAATGGCAACACTGTGTGAAAAAAAAATATCTCAAGCATGCGAGACCGTGTATCGGAAATTCTAAAGATATGCTCTTTTTAAATTATTTTGTGATATTACTGTTGAATTGAATTTTATGGTTTAAGTGCAAAGAACATGATATTTAATAAATAAAGGTAACACATAAAAGTTTAAAAAAACCTTTACCCTTTGGAGGTAATATAAAATCTGAAAACTTTCAGAGTTTTTTCGTTTTGATTTCTAATACTATTATTTCAGATTTTACAAATATAAGCCGACCAGCAGTCGAGCGGTAAAGTCGCTGATGATTGGTAGTTCGGTAGTAATCCCGCGAATGGGCTGGATGCATCAGCGTTTTCGTGGTTTTCTCCTTGTGTAACGTGTATACGAGCCAGTTTCCCTCGGACATCTCCCTACGAAAGCATCCCTTCCCTTAGGCAGATAGCCCTTGAAGCTTTGCGTTAATTACATAACCAAACAACAATTTACAAATATCAACAAGCTTTCAGAAACAAATCACAGATTCTAGTGGCAGACAAAGGTTTGATTTTAATTAATATAATAACTGCATTTGATGGATTGATGCAGTTTTGTAGTATTATCAAAACTTTACAAAACTGCTTAACTTAATTTTTAAATCTCCTTGTTCAAAATTATTCAACCGGTTTCTTGTTGTGTATACCGTTGCAAAAAATAAGATACTTTTTACGATGCTTTGATGTACAGTGAATCTATGAATGTATAATGAATTGTGATCCTTATTTATGGGATTTCTAATAGGTGCAGATTTGTAGAATTAGTTAACATGGTTAGTCTTCTGATTGCCAGATATCCCTTCCAAAGGAGCAACTCATCTGATGCTGTTTGTTAACTTCGCCTTGAGAGAAACCATTCTTGTTCTAAACAGTTATTATTTTAATGTCATGTGTATTTTTCTGGGAACAGTCTGTAGGGTGAATGGACAATGGTAATATACAATGATCAGCATCTCTTCCTTTTCCACAGAATGTGACCTGTTCATTATATTGCTTGTACACAGAAAACCCAAAGATCTCTAATATATTGGGTAGACAACAACAAACAACAAAAAAAAAAAAAAAAAAAAAAAAAAAATGAAGTACTTAGAATCTACAATTAAAGGAATAAATTCTCAGACTTTTAAAGTATCTTACGTTAATTAACCACAGTTACTATACACTGGTGTGCAAAAATTAAGGACGAGACGGTTTATTCAATATAACTTTGTACAAAAGCTTTCCAAATCAACACATTTAATACCGTAAGATCCCCAATACGTAAGGACATGAGTAATGTAAGCAACACTTACTAAAAGAGAAATCAGAGGGATAAAAAGAAGCTTTATTGAAAAAGTAGCATGGAGCGCAATGCGACTGAAGGCCGAAACATCCCTGTGATGGGTGTCCAGCAAGAAACATCCGATCTTTAATAGGGGATGTGATCTCCCCTGACTGCTAGGCAGGTTTCACAGCGTCTGCCCATGCTGAGAATGAGGGTGTCAATGAGTTGTTGAGGCATTGCTGCCCATTCGTCTTGCAGCGCCAATCGAAGCTCCGGAATCGTTACTGGTGCTAAGGTACGAGCTGCCAAGCGTCTGCCTAGAAAATCCCATACATGCTCGATGGGATTGAGATCCGTAGATCGTGCCGGCCAATCCATACGTTCAATATCCTCACTCTCTAAGAGCTGTTCGGCAGCTACTGAGCGATGACATGGTGCATTATCGTCCATGAAAAGGAACTGCGGACCCATAGCGCCTCTAAAAAGACGCACATATGGAAGAAGAATCTCGTTACAATAACGGGTCCCGTTGACTGAACCTGCGTCGAAGATGTGAAGGTCTGTACGACTACCAAGCATGATGCCTCCCCAAACGAGAACACCGCCACCTACATACCTGTCCCTTTCAATGATGTTCAAGGGATGATTGCGGCTTCCCCGCTCTCTCCAGATGAGTATGCGATGAGAATCGCTACTCAGACTGAATCTGCTCTCACCTGTAAAGAGTACTCGTCCCCATTAATTGTCTCTCCAATTCCGGTGTTCCCGGCACCACAGAGAACGCCTTCTCTGATGAGCAGGCGTTAGAGGTACACACCGTACAGGGCGTCGTGCAAACAGACCACCACCGTGCAGTCTTCTGGCCACGGTAAAACGCGATATCGGTCGTCCAGTCGCCTGTGTCGTGTGTCTAGCAATTTCTCCCGCTGTCTGCCGCCTGTTTCTTCTGGCCTGTACGGCAATATACCGGTCATCTGCGGGTGTGGTTCCTCGTGGACGACCACTACTAAACCCCCGGATAGCTGTTCCTGTAGTTTGAAATTGTCTCCAAAGTCGTGAAACGATGCTGTGAGCAATTCCGAACTCTGCAGCCACACTTGTCACACTGCGGCCTTCCTCCAACTTCCCAATGATTCGACCTCGGGTAAAAGCATCCAGATGTCGTCTAACAGATTGATAATTCGCCATTTCTCGCTGAGGCAGCAACACGGTGTGATTTTAACTGCTATACGGCGTGCAATCTCTTTGCCAGAAATACTGATCTTACACCGACAACATGCTTTATACTACTCAGACACTCCTCCATTTCGTCTACCTGCATATCTGCGCATGTGCTACCGTACATCACCTTACTTAAT